ATTGCGTGTGAGACCAATTTAGACGATGTCCGACCTGACCGGCTTTTGTTAGGCTTTATAAATTTGACCATTTTTTTTTACATTTGTCATGTTGTTTTCCGCTCCGCCCGCACACCTTGTATCGCTGTAGTAAGCGAGCGGACTAGCAGCTAGCACTGTCCTCACCGCACCGCCGCCGCCCCGCCACTCTTCATCTCCACACCACTTATCTTTTCGAAAAAAAAAATAAGGGTGTCCGGCCTTTTTACCCAAATGTCCGGCTAAACCAGCTGGTCTGTCCGGCCTTTCGATTTTAAGAACTGGCAACCCTAATCCCACCTGGTGGTTGGTAAGTACCTATAATATTTCTTGCAAAATTACAATGAGACCAGTTGACATATTAATGCCGTTTCGAGTGCGTCGGCGCGGGCACGCGTTTTACAAGCAATTTTAATGCAAGCAAAGAAATAGAATATCCACAAAACAAACCATAATAAAAAAGAAAATAATGATAAAAGAAAATAATATACAAAAATACATAATAATGTTTTTTTTTTTAATTTTAAAACAATATATGTACAGACTACAGAGATAGAAACATTTTAACAATTTTAGATTTATAATCTTATTATATATTTTTAATATCTTGTTTGTCTGTCTGTCAGTCTGACGTTCTGGATGGAATCTTGCAACACAAATTTAGAGCACTTCTCAATGAGCTAGAGACTTGAAATTTTGAACATAGCTCAGAATCGGGTGACAATGTCATCATCATCATTACAGCCCCTCACAAATCCACTGCTGAAAATAGGCCTACCCCAAGGAGTGCCACAAAGCACGGTCCCGAGCCACCTGCATCCATTGACTTTCTGTATGTGGCAATGTAGGAATATAAAAATTAAAAACGTAAATAATGTGGTATATTAAATTTGTTTTTAGTACAATATTTCAAAAAGTCACTTGTTTTAAAAAGAAAACGATTTGAAATAATAAAAACATTGATTTAAGCTTAAGTAAATACAGGTGAAACAATATGACACCTCATTGTAATGAAGAATTGTAAAATTTTACACATGACAGAAAATATAATGTGTGTGTACAAGTGTTTAAAATGATTACTGAACAAAACTTAAATGGGCTGAATAACTTTCCATTTGTAAGTTGTTATAATGGGTCCTATTTTAGAAAATCTAAATTTTCAATTGTATTCATTGATACAATATATCATTAATCAAATATAATATTTCCTATACACAGTCCTATATACAGTCAAGTAAATATCAAATAATTATATTCACTCAACTGTTTATGATAGAATAAATATTTACAGGATATACCATGTAATAAAACCAAATAATAGGTGTTGAATTAGTTATTAAAACTTTAATGTTTGATGGTATCAAGTTAAAATAAATATATGTAACAAGCCTTTTTTTTTAAATAAAGAATACAGACAACTTCAAACAAAAATGGCTACAGATAATAATTTGTCACCTCTGGGGACTAAGAGAGAATGCTTCACACCTGTAATTATATTATCTCTCTATAACCTGACGCCTCCGTGGCTTAGCAATGAGTTGCTGCGCTGGAGGGTGCAGGTTCTATCCAGCAGGGAACAAGTATTTGTATGGCCTAACATATAATTGTTCGGGGTCTGGATGTTTGTCCTTGTGCAATTTGTGTTTGTAAACTGCCTCCACGATACAGGAGAAAATCTAGTGTGGGGGTAACGTTTTTTAAAATCAAATCAATTTAAAATCAAAGCAATAATCATCAAACTGGAACACAGCAGTCTATGTACTGTTGCTTCGTAACAAAAATAGGTAAGAGAGAGGAAGTTATCCAGTTTTCTAGGCAGAAAAAAGTCTCAAGTCTTGAGTTTTAAGCAGGCTCCTGAGGACCAGTCCCTATGGAGGACTAAGTTTAGCAAGACTTTTGATGAGCCATTGATGGTGATATAGTGTTGTTATGGTTGTTAAATGTTTAATAATATAATGGAATAATCAATACAACAATCAACATATAAAATAATGCTTATTATTGTGTAATCATACAGATTATTTAAAGTTGTAGAATCATTATTATTTTCATACTGTTTTATACACAGCAAGTGTCATTACATTTCTTTATACTTAGAAAGTTAGCTATTTGTTTGTAGCTAAGGATTGTAAGTTAATTATTTATAATTCTTATAACTTTTCGAGTATTATATTGATACAAATTGAGAAACACAATTTTGCTGGAATTTTTTTAACATTGTTTTCCAAGTTAAGTTACAAAAGTATGTTATATAATATACGCCTCATCGCATCCTTGACTATTTACATTAACATAATATATATACACGAATGATTAGCGAATTTTAAACAGTAACAGCATAATTTATAAATTATTTTATCGCATTATTTTGTAATTTTTTGTGATTGTCTGTAATATATTTAAAAATAAACTAATAACTTACCAGCACTGCGTGATGAGTCCGATTGCCTCTGTGCACCCATTGAACATTAGAAGTGTTTTGTTTAAGAAATCCTCCGCAAGGTATAGTCACATTTGTACCCTTGTCGGCTGCTACTTCGCGGATATCAACTTGTTCGGCTACGACTCGCGCAATAACTAAAAAAAAAGATATCGACTTTAATGTACCTTATGACAATAAAACACAGCTCCTCAGATTTTTAATTATTTACCTTCTAATCCAAGGCAGAACAGAGGCACCAATACACGTATAAGAAACATCCTACAATTTCTACATTTAAAGTCTATAAACAAACACTATACGTGTAATTTGTAAAGTAAAAAATATTTTAAACCTTAATTGGTTAATTACATTACAGAGAATTGATTAACGACGGAAAGCGAAATAAATATGAATCAAATCACACAGCAAACGTCCTGCCTTCTTTGATGTAAGTCATAGACTAAGAAATAAAAAATAATAAAATCATATTATGTCACTGTCATACATCAGTGCTGTCATATCTGTTGTTGTTTTTATTATTCCCTCGAGAGAGCAGGCAAAGGAACTATGCCATACAGCTTTGTCTTTATGTATAATTATCCTTCATAGTTCACTGCTTTACAATATGTTGATGCGTCACATTGTGCAGCCCTTGGGAGATTTTGACGGTAACTTGAGCCAGCAGGCAGCTGACAGTTGGCGATGGTGTCTAAAAGCGCCTATGCAAACAAACAGCTAATCTTGAGAACCCAATACTATCACAGCACTTTTTTCACCGTTTTCACTAATAGTTTACATGTGTAGACAGTTAATACATAAAATCGCACCGCTTTTACATATCAAAATCCACTTCAAACTATTATTTAAACTAATACTAATACACAGGAGCAGCAAACCGCCGCCGATCAAGTTCCCGCCAAAAACTAACTGTCATATCTGGATTTGACAGGCTTGCTGCCTCTGTCAGAGACATTGATCCAAGGAGGTTGTAAAATATTGTAACCTCCTTGCATTGATCTTAGCGTTAAATAGGTAGATTATAATATAATTTGGAAAATCCAAAAGTGCACGCCTCGTGAGTGTTTGTATTAATTTTAATTAAAAAAAAATTAATTGTATTCCTTACTTTTAAAATACATTATTTACGTGTATTAAATTCAGCGCTTTATTATTTTAACAGGTAGTGTTAACTACAGGGTAAAAAGCAAATAATGTTTACCAAAATAAATCGAATACACAAAGTATAAAATCGGTATAGACTGAATTGTATATTTGTCTTTTGTCAATCAAATACTAAAAAATATATATATGACAGCGTCTTGATAGTAATAAAAATTATAAAAGTTGAAAATCTTCTTCATCTTATTAACAAACTATGTATACTAGTCTATTGATATAAAATGGGAAACTAGTTGATGTGATTCTAAAGCTAATATAAAAAAACCTGGTGTCGATATGTCAATTTTTTCAGGAGAGTTGTCACCACATATAAAATCAAAATCCGGACATCCACGTAAAATTTGGTTTTTTCAAAGTAGCAATATAAAATGATTTTTAGAAAATATAAGATGGATTCATTAGATTGTTTTCTTTATATACGACTACTCATATTATCGTATAAGTGCAATAAAATTATGGTAGTGGCATTTTAAGAACACAAATTGTGTGATCTTCACGTATCGAGAGTAGAACACATCTATAATGCTTCGCGTTATGAGGCGTGCAATAGCTATAAGAATAATAACTACCATAAACACTCTATGAGTATACTGGGTATCGAACATTTTCGCATCTTAGTGATGAACATGAACTCATTATGATCTTTGAGTTTATAAATCAATATCATCCATTGTATATTATTATTACTTATTATCATCATCAGCATCTTCATTATAGCCCTTCACAAGTCAACTGCTGAACAAAGGCCTACCCCAAGGATTGCAACAAAGCACGGCCCTGAACCACCTGCATCCATTGACTTCTTGCATGACTTACCAGGTCGTCACTCCATTTAGTGGGGGGCCGTCCTACACTTCACCTACCGGTACGAGGCTGCCACTCGAGAACATTTCGTCCCCATCAATCGATGGTCGGTTCTTTGAACTATTATTATTACTTATCATTCTAATTTATTTTTTTGCTTTACAGTGTCTCTACTTACTTTAAAAAAGGAAATTAACGCTTATTATTATATTTTTATATTTCAACGTACGCAAGTTGATTCAAAAATGTATAGGATTTAGATACGATTATGAGAGCGATCTTTTAATCAATTTATTTTTAACGTCACTTTTTCTTCAATGTTGTTATCAAACCGTAGTAATTTTAAACTCTTTTGTTGCCATTTTACTATTTTATTACATCAACTGTCAAATGAAATTGTCTATGATTCAAAGTGTGAATAGACAAGAATATAGATTTTCTTCGGACATGGCCGCTGTATCGGCAATACAACACCTGCAATGTTTTGTATATTTGAATTCATTTTTTATAATGAATAGAGAGTTTTTTACTTATAAGTAGTGATTAGTGGCTTGTATATAGTGCTGTGATATTTGTAATGGATGCGGAGAACGAGTACGAAATAAAGAGAGCTCGTGATGCAATTCAGATGATTGAGACCATTCAGTCTATGATCGACGTTTCAGCGGATAGACTTGAGGGTTTACGGACACAATGTTCGACAAGTGCCGAGCTAACCCAGCAAGAGATCCGGACCCTGGAGGTAAGAATATTTTTTATATTTTCTACGTAATTTATTGTGGAAACAAGATAATGCCCTTGAACGAATTCCTAGCCTTGTACCTCAAGGACTCCGTTGGGCTCAAGGACCACGTCGGACGGTTCATTGGTTGCTTCGAAAGCGTTTCCGCCGCGCACCTTCGATCGCCTTGAATATAGTTAGTCGAATACTAGTAGCAAATCAGGTACTCTTTGCGATTGGCGGCTTTTATAAGTTTTATAGGTAATGGAACTTTTCACTCAATATAGCTATTTTAGCATTTTAGAAGACCTAATACATAGTTTGAACCTGTATAGGAAAATACATAACATTAATAATATAATTTGATCAACATTTCTATAATATTTACACAGATTTTTCTGTTTAATAAAACATAAATATTAAATATCTACTTAACAATATTACATACTCACTAAAATATATTAAATAAAAATTATATCTATAAATAGTGTCCTCCGTAAAATGTATGTTTTTATCTTATTTAATTCTTGGTAAAACTATAGACATCTGGTACTCACGTACAGGAGTGGGAGGGAGGAGGACCTCTTGAAGCCTACCCTACCCTTTACCCTTGCGGAAATATATAGTTTATGAGTAATATTTTATTTTTGTAAAATCATAACCTCACTTTTTTACACAAGAATATTGACTCAGAGTTACTTCTGTAACATCTTCGGTGCTACGGGAAGAGCAGCCCCTTCGTCCTTGCGTTGCTAATCACAAGCACCCATGCTCACCTTCGCAGCTTTGGCTCCACCAGCCTCAGCTGCTACAGCTCAGGGTAAGTCAGACAAGACTACGGAGAGTCGGGGCGGGCTGATTCGATTTTAGTACTGATTCGACCTATCTTATCATAAAGTCAGGATGACCTAAACTCTGCTATGATAGTGGTAAATGAAACAGTGTAATGTGTATTGTTATAATTTTTTTTTCTGAAAACCTCTTGACAGCTCTCCACTGAGACTCAAATTGTTGTGTATGACTCCCATCTTCAGGGACAATCGGATTGTATGGGTCCCAGTAATTAACTTTTTTTATGGGTGACCCGTTTCGTCATATGCTATTTTTATTTAGTGAAATTATTTTTATCTTAATTCAAAATACATTTCTGATATCCAAAAATAAAGGTTCAAGCTTAACCCTGACAAACCTCCTAAACTGAAAACAATTAAAATTAAGTACTGGACGTCCACTTCATAATACTAGACTAAATTGACGTATTTACGTTTTGTTATATGCAATTTTTAGTGAAATTTTTTTTTTCTCATAATTAATTCAAAACACATTTCAGACATCCGAAAACAGTGTAAAAAGTTCAAGCTTAACTCTGACAAGCCTCCTAAACTGAAAATATAATTAAAATGAAGTACCAGACATCTATAGCCAACCTTAATTCTTAATGGATACATTATATGGAATGAAACTATCATTCCAATTAATTTTTCTATTCCGTTCTATCTACCTCACTTGTTTACTTTCTGTGTATGTAAGGTTGTGAACTGGAAAAGGTGGTAGAATCAATAAAACTTGAACTTGATCATCACAAAGGATAGCAATTTCTTTAACAATAACTTTGTTATCATCTCTTTTGAATCCTTGCACATTAGCCGTAGATTTCATGACATTTTTTGTACTGTGTTGTACTTAAGGGTTTGTACTCTACTAGATGATAGTTTTTTATTACACAATATGCACTGGTGTTGTCTGGAATATTCTTTTCACATCTACACATACATCTGTTAGCAAATTATTTAGTAATTGTCCTGTTGGACAATTGTGTTTATTGACTTTATATGAATCATGGTAAGTATAAAATTATATTAATATATTCCAACAATATAATTATTTCTTACTAATATTTACTAGCTTCTGATCTTTTGCATACAATTTACATGAGGCATGGGTGTGTGTTATATATACATATACGTAAAAATAACTCAATATAATAAATCTCCATCCTTCTTTATAGCCTTTAATATTATTCAGAATCTGTTTCAATATATTATGTACATGCCAAGTGTTTTATGTGCATTTGATTAAATTTGTCTTATAAATACATAATGAACAAAGGCCTGTGCCCAGCAATGGTACATATATAGGCTGTAACTTTAACTTTTAATTACTCAAACAACTTGTCAGTCAATCGAATAACACATTTTTGTCTTCGAGGTAATTAATGTACAGTAAAGAGTAATTTACAGGTTGGGATAATGATATAGTAAAATAATTAATACATAGCAAACGCTTAACTGTGCATATTTAAAACTTCATAGACAGAAGTGATTTATGTTCACAGAAAGAAGCCAAACCTTTATGCCATTATTATACAAGAAAAATTAATATAAAAAAAATTGTCTAAATCATTAAAGTATATAAATTAATGATGAAATGGTGCTTCAGTTTGTTTTTTTGATTTACATTCATTAATCATGTTTTAATAAAGAAATATTATCATATTAATTCCTATGAAATGCCAAGTGGCTACAAGAATCTGTCACTTCATCTTATTGGCTGGTTTCTTTTAAAACATTAGGAGTAACAAATGAGCCTCTGAGCCACTTGCATTCATTGACTTTTTGCATGTCTTACTAGGTAGCCACTCTATTTAGAGGTTACACACTGGTTCTACTGCGGATATCCTATGGCTTATATATGTTCACTATTTAATATCTGATAATGATATTTAGAACTTTTTTTATATCAAACTTTGTGCTTTAAAATTCTGAAATTATTATCTTTTCGTTTTAAAGTTGTACTAACACTACAGTTTTTGAATAATGCTGTTTTTTGAAGGATGCCCATGTGTATATATATTTTCATGTATTATCAAGCTTTTCTGCCGACTTCGAAAAAGGAGACGGTACTCAATTCGAGTGTATGTTTCTTTTTTTTTATGTGTGTTACCTCATAACTTTGTACTGGGGGAACCGATTTCGATGATTCTTTTTTTATATGAAAGCTGATAGTTCTCGTGTGGTCCCATATGAATTTGATCAAGGTCAGACCAATGGTTATTGAATTATTCTTATATAACCTATATTGAAGTCGCTTATATTGAAATCGGCTGTACAAAATTTTTAATTTTTAATTATTATTCTCACAAATCTTGAAAAGAAATACTCCTATTAATACTAGTATATTTTGTACAGCTTCATTCATGTTTATAAAGATAAATTAGTTTCTATTTAAATATACATTCTATCTCTAAAATAATGACAAGCTTACAGCGCACCTGGTGATAAATGTCTACTGCGGCCCTGTAACAAGCTAAACAAAGATGGCTGCAGATGCATTGTTATTCCTTAGAGATAGAGGGCTAGAATTAATACATTATAGCCTGTGAATTATACTCTTACCCTTTCAACAAGAACAGAGTAAAAATAGAGAAAGTACAAATACCAATATAGTATAGTACAAATACCAATCCAGACTGCCGTGAAAACCATTACCATTACAGCCTATAAAAGTCTACTGCTGAATATAGGCCTCCTTGTAGATTACCTCATAGGGGGGATTTTGCCATAGTTGCCACGCTTGGCAGGCAGATTGGCAAGTGCAGTTTTTTATTATTTTGAGTTTTTATCAGGAAGACGCTGCTGCCCATCTCCTTAGTTTTGTTTCCCTCTTACGACACCCACAATACGATGTGGGGTTGTGGTCTTACATGGCCCTGAATGAATGAAAAGCATATTTTAAATCAATATGCACAGATCACACTATTGTAACCATGCATTCTTATACATTTATAGGACAATGCATTGCATTATTTATTTATTGAAGATTAGTTTGATGTTAGAATTTGTTTAAGATTGTTGGTTAAATATATTATTTGTTATCTTTAACGTTTTTGATGATGTTTGTTTGTTAGATCATTTATGATATTAGAAATTATACTTTCGCGAAATTTATTACATATATTTGGTTGTTATTTTTAATGCAACTTTAAATAGCCGCTGTATAAGCCTTTTTAATCCACAACTGGGTGTAGACTAGTGATGGGCGTTGAATGAACGAACTAGTTAATTCTACCGTCGACGTACTGTGGACTAGACTAAAATGTTTACATATCAAGTTTGAGTAGATTCTTCTTCATCATTCCGTAAAAGTACATTGCTATAGATAGGCATCTTCCGGGCACGGGCAATGCAACATACGCTTAAAAGGCGAAATGACGGCCGCAGCGCCAGGGCTAGCGATTTTTTAACTAGTAGAGCCACGCTGCAGCTATATTATGGTTGCAGAACGAATGGGGTAAGACCACGCTCTTCTGTGAGAGCGTGGTCTTACCCCAGAATACCAGCAGAATACCAGCGTAAAATAGCAGCGGAGACTCTTTTTTACTGGAAACGAGGCATTCCATCTTAGTCCTCACGGGTGACAACGTATCTGCATTTTAATTCGTAGTCGAGGATAGATGTGGATGGATCACATGGATGGATGGATCACAGCAACTACTTACCATCAGGTGGACTGCGTGCTCGTTTGTCGCCCTTATTCTATTAAAAAAAAACTAGCTGTTCCTCGCGACTTCGCCCGCGTGTAGTTTAGGGTTTTAGTTATGTTGTGCGGAACCCTAACTCTTTTTCTAAAATATAAGTAGCCTAAGTTACTCCTTATAACATCAGCTATGTGCCAGCGAAAGTCCCGTCAAAATCGGTTCAGCCGTTTCAGAGATTAGCCGGAATAAACAGACAGACAGACAGACAAAAACTTTAAAATTTGTATTTTTGTTATAAGTACCGTATATACTTTCATATGCATTTAGTAAAAAAAATGTTATTTTGACATTACAAATAGACACTTCAATTTTATTTATTTGTAAGGACTAGCGACTCGCCGCTATTTTGCACAGGAGCGATTTAGTATTGAAACCTTTTTTTTTTAAAAAAAACGTTACCCCCACACTAGGATTTTCTCCTGTATCGTGGAGGCTGTTTACAAACACAAATCGCACAAGAACAACACCCAGACCCGGAACAATT